GGAAGCAATAATCGTTAAATCCCCTGAGCCCGCCCACGGCAAAATCTTCGTCGACCCATCAAGTGCTCAAACAAATGTCCGAGGCTTCGTTAAAAATAATATCCTCAGGGCTTCGGATTAATTGATTTGGTGCTCTGAACTGCGGGGATGAAACAAATGTGTGTGTTTGACTTTTTTTAACGCGGTATTCCATGAGAGGCAAAAATTAATCGTCTTGTATTGATCATAAATTCGGGATCGTTTTTTTTTTACCAGTTTGTCCAAAATCCACCGATTGATATGTCTCCTCTCCCGGGGGATTTACACGGATTAACAAAACCGTACAATTACTATATAGAGGGTGGCTTTCTGCTTTCATCTTACCTTTGTGCCCGGCTGATTTCACCATTCCATCCCCAGCTTAACATCCGCTTTTATATCAGGGGAATTTTAATATTTATTTTTCCAAGCCTTCAAACAAAGCTACAAAAGAAACCGATAAAATACGATTAAAAAAGGGTCGTTAAAAAAATATAACATTATTATATAACGAAACTGACAGTAAAATCATCCGTATGGGCCCACAAAGGATTTATTTATTACTATTATATTTCACAAAAAAAAATCTCCTTTATCATAAAATTTCTTACCAGCTCTTAAAATTATTTAGCAGATTACATTTGTGCCTTTGTCATGTGTCCGAATTTCAGAAATTAATTCTATGAAATTTGCCATAAAACATATGAGGTCCATGATTACTGCGACTAGCGACATGGAGATACCTTTTGTAACAAGCTCATTTTTATTATCAGAATCCGATCCTGAAGACAGAACATACGGCACAGTTATTCAGAAATCGTGAGATGCGGTCTGGTGTGATGTAGGTTTCAGAAAAACATTTTCTTTATCGTGCCAACGTTTCGGTCTTTATTGAGATCATCTTCAGGGCTCAAAGTGTTTGTCTTCTGTGTGATTGTGCCATTTTTGCGTGTTGTTTGATAAAACATTAGTTATACTCGTTCGTATTCCATTTTATTCCTAGCTTGTAAATTAGGCATTCAATAAATTTCCCCTGAAAACATTTAGGTCTATTTATTGGTATATAGACTGCATGCCTCAAGCAATAATACTCAAGAATACTACGAAATAACGCAAAAAAACTAGGTGCCTCACATAAGGCACGCAACAGCAATAAAAAAAATCTGACACCGTTCTTAAAAATGGGGATTATCCGATCCCGGAAACAATCTTACAACATCTCACAAAGTCTTAGCAGATTCCAAAGAAGAAGAGGAATGCAGGAGAACATTGGATACAATGATACGGTATAAAGATGGCGCCAAAACACTGAAAGGAACCGGATTGGGAGTTTTTTCTACAAGCCCCAAACATGAGCAATCAAACTTATTAGTAAAGTAAACTTGGTCTTTCAAACCGAAAAACATTCCAGATGGTACTTTGGAAAATCATAAAAGAGACTGACAAAACAATCATCATAAGATCAAATAATCAAGCAAGCAAAACTACGGAATCTCAATAACCTGATATTTTGGAAACCAGGGCACAAAAAAAAACGAAAAATCAGACACACTTGCCAAGGGCTCTGCAAGACCGTATATAGGCACTGAAGTTATTCTTTGGATAACAAAAACAAACACAGAATCTTCCACAACGAATTTTTCCAAAATAGACAAAAGGAGTAGCAGATAAACTCTAGAGGTGCTAGACACAGTGAAGCTAAAACAACCAAGACTGGCATACTCACTGCTACAATTATAAAAGACTATACTCAGAGGAATAATAGGTCTAATTTTAGGTCATCTGAGATTTACACAACATGGGCATGTTCAATGATGACCCCGGTTGTAGGACATGCAATGAGGAGGAAAAAACAATTTTCGAAGCACTCGATTAATGCACGCTGGGATTCAAAGAAAACCAAGTGAAAGAAAATGTAGCAACGATAGTAAATGACCTAGTACTTCTTAAGTGAAGAATCGGGGCGACTGACTGACCTAAGGAACTAGGAAAGTACAATAAGCCAGCCGGCTGCAGTACTTGTGGAACAAAAGAAAAGACTTCCTAAAATCCTCCATCATCATTAACCCAAAAGATAGCCGCCTCATCTCCATAATATTACGTAATCTCGAAGAAAATCTTGGATTTTTATTACTTTTGGCTATATTTCATATAACCTATTCAATTGCGATCTATGTAAAGAGATATTTTATTTTTTTTATAAAATAATATCAATTTTATTCGCCTATACTAAGGGAAAATTTATTATCCCTTCAATAAGACGCAAACCTATTCAAATCTCTTCAAGTAGCCAATAACAAAAATTGGGTATAATTTAAACGGGTGGAGACATCGATGATGAAGATTGAAAACATGAGTGGTCCAAAGAGAGATCCTTGGGGAATACCGAAGGTTCCCCAGAACATTTTCGAAAATTTACCTATACATTTTGTTTTACGATCTTTATTGGAGAGATATGACAGATTCAAAAGAAAGAAGAATAAAATTTGATAAGAAACCGTATTATATTAATTAACTAAAATAATGTTAACATTACTACCGAAATTCACTAGCTTTAGTGGTCCGCTTGACCAATTAATATCTTTCAATTAATTAAGGTTTTTAATTAAGATAAAAGAGTCAGTGTCACGAGCGGGATTCGAACCCAAGACCTTCGGCTAGATACGCCACTGTTCTACCACTTGAGCTATCGTGACACTGACTTTTTTTATCTCAACTAGATGTAGATGTAGATGTGATTTTTCATGGTATAGTATACTGCGCCCTTTAAGAGCTATTGTATCCCCCGTTCTCCGCCTAAAGCACATCGGTGAGTCCTATTTCATCTAGAAAATAGTAATAGGCCCGGTTTCAGTGGTTGAAGCTCTTCTATGTCACATTATACATCCCAAAACATTTCCTCCTGCTAATGTAGCTCCGCAGTTTGTTAGTAAATGTGTTGGTGTCTCTTCTACCTCCTTGCAGAAACTGCATGTGCCATGTTGGATGGTTCCAATTTTCTTTAAGTGTTCATTTAATCTGCAGTGTCCTGTTAGGAATCCTGTTAGGATTCGCAGTCTGTTCCTGCTTCCTTTGACAAATTCTGTGATTTCTTTCTTACCAAAATTGGTTAGAAGATTCTTGGATTGTCTATGTCCAATGAGTGAATTCCATTGTTCCTTCATTTTCTTTTTGTCCTTCTGTCTTAGTTACTCGTTATTAATGTGGATTCCTATGCCACAGAAGGGTTCGGATCCTATCAGCGGTGTGGCAGCCCCTTTCTTTGCAAGTGTGTCCGCTTTCTCGTTGCCTTCTACTCCCATGTGTCCTGGGACTTTCAATTGCATGAATCTCAGCTTGGAAGATACTGGTTTGTTTTCCCATGGGTTCTGAGTATTTGGTTCCGGGTCCACATACTCCTGCCCCCGTACCTTCTTGTAGATCCATCTGTGTACCAGAGGATGGTGCCATTTTTAAAGGAGTTATTTCCCTTTCTTTGTCATTCTTTTTTGGTACACAGATATACTCGAAATTTTTGGTAAAATTCAAACATCCTCTTGGAGCCATGAGTGACGGATGGTCTTTCCATAGTTTGTTGCTATCTCTCCATTTCAATTTTATTCCTGTTGGAGGTTTCTCTTCGATAAAATTTATGATGGCTTTCTGCGCTGTCCTTTCTACCATGTGATGTAGGGGGATTAATCCCAGTATCTTTTCCATGCTAATTGTAGGACATGTTCTCATTGCTCCGTTATGCAGATGCACGCAAGTCTCTGTCTTTTTGTGAATTCTTTCCTTTTGGTTATTTGTTCTGCTTTATCAGCCCAGGCTATAGCTCCGTATGTAAGTAAAGGTGTACATCCATAACAGGTTTTCTGGTCTGCATCCCCAGTTTCTTCCTGCTATTCTTCTGCACACCATCAAAGCTCGTGTCGCCTTTGTGATAATAGAGCCGATGTGTTTCTTAAATGTTAGTGTTTTATCTAGTGTGATGCCCAGATATTTGACTTCATTTTTGATTTCTATCACAGTGTTGTTGAGTGTTATTTCTTTCATGTGATCTAGTTTACTTTTCCGTGTAAAAATGACTATAGTTGTTAATCCCTAAGCCTGCGCTTTTACACCATTCTTCTGTAATTTTCAGTCCCTCTTGGATTATATCGTAGAGGTTTTCCTCGAATTTTCCCCTGGCTGTCAGAACTATGTCATCTGACATTGTATTCCTGAGCGGTCCAGGGTTTCGAGCAGTTCATCAACTTTAGGCTCCATAGAAGAGGTGATAATATCCCTCCTTGAGGAAATCCTCTTGTTGTGCTAACTTCTATAGTGTCTGTTCCTGCATTTGTTTCCGCTATTCTGGTTCTTAGCAGTTCTCCAATCCATTTAAATGTACTTTGGTCTACATGGTTTTTTTTCCTCAGGGAGGCTTTCATTGAGATGCATTGTCGAACGCTCCCTCAATATCGAGGAACGCGCAGATTGCTATTTCCTTTGTTCACAGTGTTTCCTTTAGGTCACTGGTAAGCGGTACAGTGCAGTTTCTGTTGATCTTCCTGCTCTGTATGAATGCTGACAGTAATGGAGAGGCTAGTTTACCAGTGCTGTCGTTCTTATCTAGTTGTCTATCAGCTTTTCAAAGGTCTTTAATAGAAAGGATGTTAAGCTGATTGGTCTGTAGGATTTATTTGATGTAGGGTCTCTTTTCCCCACTTTTGGTATTACCTCAACTAAAAACCTTAATTAATTAATTATTACCTAAAGTTCATCATCGGATATCATCGGACCTAAAGTTCATCAGTTTGAACGTTTTTACTATTCAGGTTTATTATTTCTCTGTTTCTGTCAATCACAGCGATAAAACATGATATGAAATTATGAAATCACTTGGAAAATAAATCTTTAAGATATTTCGCTCAGAAAACAGTCTTTTTTTATATACGTATATTGGAATAAGACAATTAACAATTGAAACAAAATAAAAAATTGAATATTGTCTGTTTCAGAGGGAAGGCCGCAAACAGCACCAATCATGCTCGACCACAACAGTATTATTAGTGTTCAACAGGACGAGGGAGCTGTGCTCGTTTGCATTGCTCAGGGATGCCCTCCGCCCGATTACAGGTTCGTGACTCAAATCAATGAACCCACTTTCCGAAAAAAGAAATTTTCCCGCAAACAAAATCATTTACAAACGATTTTCAATTTAGTTTAAAAAAATGTTGTCATTTTTTTCAAGCCATCCAGTTTTCACACAATTCTGTTATTATATTACGTAGTAAAGAGCAATTCTGACGCCACTTTTAATTATTGATTTCATCAATGACTTAAGCGGGGAACACGCTTACCCGATGCAACGCTATGCGACGCTACCCGATGTCTTGCCACGATTTGGTAGGATGTGCAATCTATGCGAAGTCAAGCAGACATGACGTACAGTCACACAGCTTGTATCACAAATCAGTATCGCAATCGCAACTCTTCTTTTGTTCTTAATGCATTATTTTGAGTAAAACCATGTAATAAATTGTTTGTTAAACTTCATTGTTTTAAATTAAGTTATTCCGGTGTTTTGTTAAATTGTCTTCCTAATCATCATAATTAAATAATTTTCATAAAAACTTATGAATTTTTGCTCTCGTTTTATTTGGTTTACATTAAAATGTAATGTTGTAATTAATATAACGACAAAATTACCTCTATTTAGTTTGAAATGGACTACCAAAAGTATGAGTGACCTGTTCTGACGCTACTCCACGAAAATGATAAAACTTTAAAAGCAAAACCATGAAATAAATTGTTAGTTAAATTCATTATATGAAAAAATGGTATTTCTATGTATTGATCAATTTTATACCAGAAGATTAAAATTAATTTTTTTTTAAATAAAAACGAATGAACTTTTGATCTCGTTTAATTTGGTTTATACTAAAATAGGAATGTTGTAATTTATATAACGACAAAATTACCTATATTTAGTTTGAAATGGACTACAAAAATATGAGTGTCCTGTTCTGACGCTACTCCACGAAAATGATAAAATTTTAAGAGCAAAACCATGAAATAAAATGTTAGTTAAATTTTATTTCCGAAACACTGTAATACGTTGTTAGTTAAATTCATTATATCAAAAAAATGCTATTTTGGTGTTTTGAACAATTTTATACCAAAACATAAAAAATTGATTTTTTAAAAATAAAAACTAATGAATTTTTGATCTCCGTTAATTTGGTTTATATTAAAATAAGAATGTTGTAATTAATATAACAACAAAATTACATATACTTATTTTGAAATAAACTACAAAAAAATATGAGTGTCCTGTTCTGGCGCTACTCCAAGAAAATGATAAAATTTTAGGAGCAAAACCATGAAATAAAATGTTAGTTAAATTTTATGACCGAAACCGTGTAATACATTGCTAGTTAAATTCATTATATGAAAAAATGCTATTTCAGTGTTTTGACCAATTTTATACCAAAACATAAAAAATTAATTTTTTAAAATAAAAACTAATGAATTTTTGATCTTCGTTAAATTGGTTTATATTAAAAAAGAATGTTGTAATTAATATAACGACAAAATTACATATATTTAGATGGAAATAAACTACAAAAAATATGAGTGTCCTGTTCTGACGCTACTCCACGAAAATGATAAAATGTTTAGAGTAAAACATGAAATAAAATGTTAGTTAAATTTTATGAGCAAAACCGTGTAATAAATTGTTAGGTAAATTCATTATATCCAAAACTGTTATTACGGTGTTGTGAACAATTTTCTACCAAACCATTAATTTTTTTTAAAAATAAAAACCCACCCTCAAATGCCATGTTAATCACACTTTTTGAGTATACTGTATATCAGTATTTATTAGTAAAACATAATATGTATGTACACAAGAGTTAAATAAAATAATTTAAAAAAAAATAAAATATAAAACAGATGATTTTTGATCTCGGTTTATTTGGTTTATATTAAAACAAGTATGTTGTAATTAATATAAATACAATAATACATGCAGTTTGAATAAAATTATGAGTGTCCGCTTCTTTTGTCTTCGACTGTACTTGATGCTACCAGACGAAAATCTTAAAAGTGGGGATCGCAGAGCATAGAGTAGGGTAGCGTTGGATGAGTCAGATTTGCACGGGGAATAAATTGTTAGGTACAATACAGAATACATATAGAAAATTAGACTTTGAATTTGCGTCGGGTAGCGTTGCATCGGGTATGTGTTCCCCGGTAGTCAGTAGTGTTACTAGTGTACTAATGTGGCTGAACTTGCAAGAACTTACATTATCAGTATGCCACGGATTTGGGTCAAACCTTTTTTGGTGATTCTAAACTCCAAAATATCGGACACGTATCGGCCCTTTCGTGTGGATTCTTGGGTCCGCCAAAAACAAATTAGAAAGTTGTAATTTACAGTTTTGAAATAATTTTATTTTAGCGTTCGTTATCATTTTACAATATTTTTATGTAGATGGTAATAAAAATATAGTAAAAGCAACCAAAGTTTATCAATAATGATTATTCAGAAATCGTCAGATGCGGCCTGGTGTGATGTAGGTTTCACAAAAACATTTTCTTTATTGTGCCAACGTTTCAATCTTTATTGAGATCATCTTCAGGGCCTGGGATTTACAAATATTGTTTAACTTTAACAAATACATGTAGGATGTGGAAAAAAGTGAATTTATACAATGCAAAAAATATATTTTTTATTTTCAACCAAAGTATTTCTTCTCAAGTGAGTAGAAATACTTTGAATTGAATGACGTGGTGGAAAAATTTTACAATTTCGTTTTACAAATCGGACTTTTTGATAATCGCTTAGAAAAAAGGAATTTGTTCGGAATTGAATAAACAAGTCAGTAAATTTAAAGGAAAGTTTGTTAAAGTTATGACGAATTGCGCTCCTGTCCGCCAAAGTTACGTTAAAAAGTTAACTCTGTTAATTACATAACGAAACCAATAGTAGCCAAGTTAATTGTTTTTCAACTTTTCTTCTAATTGGGAGCCTATTTTGGGCTGATTAGGATTGAATTAGACCAGGTTAAGTCTAATTTCACCATTCTTTGTTGAAGGAACATTTCAGTTTAACATTTTTTTTTCAAGTAAATCTATAAGAACACCCGATATCAATAAACAACTTGTTTTCTAGTTTTATACAAAAATAAATTCTTATACAAAAAAGGGTAAATCCGACAAAATTGGAACTTCACAAGGACGAGGGAGATCCAGAGAGGAGGCGGAAGCCTGTTTGGACGAATGGAGAGCGTCATGGGCAAACATCGACCATCGGCAAACAAGCTCTTCAGCAAACATATCCAACGTTCGCACATCAACTCACCATCCGTGCGGGGGGCTTAAGCGCTCAACCCTCACCGAATAACAGGCCATTCGTCGCCATTTGACTCGTAAAAAAATCTTTATTCGTCATTTTAACTAAAAAAATGTACGACCCTTAGGTTATTCTGCAATATTATTAAAATAAATGTTATCAGCTCGTTTGTAGATCAGGAGTGAAGGGGTGAGATTTAGCGCCATTTCCTTTTGGTTCTCAATGTCCCAGAATGCAATAATCCCTTTGCTCGCTTTGTAAACCCTTCAGGGGTCAGAAATATGTAAATACAGTCTATTTTATAAATTTAATTTTGCATTTAATTTTTGCATGCAAAAGGGAATTGATATTCTAGTCGTCTTTCCAGACATTTACTTAAATAGTTAACTACTACACCACAAATAATACTATAATTTATTATTTCCAATTTTTATGCAAAGTCGTTGAGATGAAAAATCAGTATCACGCGCGGGTCTCTAATTTTTCTCCCCAACCTTCATGGCATAAAAATGAGAAATAATAATAATAATAAACAGATAACTAATTAAATAATTCTATTAAATAATTAAATAATACTATAATTTGTTTTCTTCTTTGTAAATCTTATAAGATAAATATTAATAACAAATATATGTTTAATAAACATTGGTATTTGTTTGGTTTAAATCAGTCCAAAGTTGATAGTGGTATCCTAGTTTAAAATATTTTCAAAGGAAAAAAAAATTATTTATGGCCAAACTTTAGGTGCTTTATTTTATTAAAAATTACCTAATATATTCTATTTATTTTTGGGTTAAGTTTGGTATAAACTGAAATTTTTAACAACCCCTGGGCTTTTCAATAATTAAACAAATTTTAATTTGTTAGCTTCTAAATCATTTTTAATCAATTTTGGTTAACTAAATTATACTAATATATAATTTTTTTTAAATTTGGATTTCTTTCCGAAGGCCGGTATAACGCGTAAAAATTTTTAATTCATCTGATTTTTATCTAGATAAAAAATTAATACAAAATTTATTAGGTTTCGTGGTCCGCTTGACCAAATAAATTATTTTAAATTAATTAATCTTTAATTAAAATTATGGTTGAGATAAAAAAGTCGGTGTCACAAGCGAGATTCGCACCCACGACCTTCCGCTAAATACGACGCTGCTCTACCACTTGAGCTCGAGTGGATCGAAATCACGATAGATGGGAAGTTAGTGTCCGAGGGGATCGAGGTCACGATAGGTCAAGTGGTAGAGCAGCGGTGTATTTAGCCGAAGGTCGTGGGTTCGAATCCCGATTGTAACACTGGCTTTTTTATCTCAACTAAAACCTTATTTAAAGATTAATTAATTGAAAAGAACTAATACAAAATCGCATTTCCTCTTCCATTGCGGATATTAATAAAGATATGATTTTATGTCATTATAAATGAGAAAAATAATAATAAATAAACAAAAGCTTCTCAAACATTTTATTTTATATCTTCAATTTTAAGTTATATACATTTATGCATTATCTGTATTTTATAAAGTTCTAAACTTTTGTAAAGAGATTTATAGATCAGTGAAGCAATTTCTCAAGCAATTAGTAAACCTAATAATTTATTTTACCGATTTTCTAGCCAAGTTATGATGTTTTATGATGTAATTGAACCTTTCTCTCTATCTCTCTCTCTCTCTCTCTCTCTCTCTCTCTCTCTCTCTCTCTCTCTCTCCCCCCCCCGCTTTCTTTATCTTATTGCTAGCCTAAATGTACCTCAAGGTTTCGTCAATTGTGGATAAAATAA